GGGAGGCTTTCCAGTCCCGGCCAGGACTTCAACCCGAGAAGGGGAAATGGCTGGCTTCTCACCAGACCCCGATGTCGCTCATCCTACGCTTGTTGGAACCGTACAGACTTCTTGTGAAGGGCAAGGAGTCACAGGGAGGTCTCTGTTGTTAATCCCTGGCCTGAGAAACCTGAGGCCAGGTAGGGACGGCCAAGCAGCTGCCCTTCCTCCAGATCTCCAGGGTAGAACCCAGCGAGAGGCCCGGAAAAGCCAGGGACACCCACGGGCATGGCGGCCTCTGCAGGCAGCCCTTCCTCTCTGTGCAAAGACACGAGGCTCTGGCCAGAAAGCCATCCCAGGAGGGCGGAGGAAGCAGAGGACGGCTGCGCGCTGGAACCACGACAGGGCAGGACAGGTGCTTTGAACCAAGGAGGTCACTCCCGGAGGCGCAGGGATAGGTGTGCGTGAGGGAGGGCACTTCCAGCAGGCACTGGGGCGAAGGCACACCCAGGACAGATGGCAGCACCAGAGACAAGGTGGGCCACCGGGCACCAACCCAGCTGTCCCCGTGCCACCAAGGGGAGAGCCCAGAGGCAGGCAGTCTGAAGTGCGCGGCCCAGCTGGCCAATCGTGGGCGCGTCTTTTGGGCGAGTGGCACAGATGTGGTGGTTCGCACACATTGGTTCTGTCTAAGAAGCACCCGTTGCGTGTAGCACCCATCAGTGGTAAGAGCACCATGAAGCGTGGTGCATAGCAAAAGGGGCACAGGGCAGGGCTCCAGGCTTCAATCACAGTTGGACCATTGAGAAACAGTAAACAGTGGTGGAGGGTGCCGTCCGGGCAGGCGCAGGCTGGGAAAGCGGCCCCAGCCATCCCTCCCGCCAGCGTGGTGGCTCGGGGCCGCCCGTGGGTCAGCCTGGGCAGGCCCCCCGGAGCATCGGTCTCTGGAATGCTCACAGGGTTCTGCGTTGAGCTTGTGTGGGTTTCCAGGGCCCCAGCTGGGGACACGGGGAGGTGTGGCTAATGCTCCCCACCTGCCGCCCTCAGGGTGGGTGGGGCAGGCCGTGCGGGGGCCGAGAGATTTGAAATCTGTGACAACTAAGCAGTGGCGGCTCCGGAGGCTGACAGTGGAGCCCGGCTTCCCCTCGGCAGGCAGAGCTGTCTGAGGGCCCTTGCGGAGAACACCTAGCGGTGGAGAAAGTCTGGCAAACCATGGCCTTCCAGGGTGACGCCGAACACCAACCCAGGGTCAAGCAGCAGCATGGCGCATCTAAGGCACAGGCACTGCACGCCATCTACGCTCTCGGAGATCACTAACGGAATGCAGCAATGACAGGATGAAGGGACACCCCTGCTGTGGCCTCCCTCAGCACGCGCCGCCTGCCCACCCCCGGGCTGAGGTCGAGCTGTCAGCAACAGAGAGCTTGTCTGAACACGGGGCAGAATTTTAAAAACCTACAGGATTCTGTTTAGAACTTCAAAGTTCAACTGATGCCCTATTTTAGGGTGAAAACACGGTAAGTCAGAACGATGCACAGCATCCATGAGCAGGTCCCCCCGCAGTCCCCTGAGGCGTGTCACGGACTACGACAGCACGAAGGCTCACATTTCTAACGAGAAATAACAGCAGGTTGGAGATCCTCTTTCCTATCACAAGTGATAACCAGTGTTTGATATTCTACATTTTCTTCCAAGAAATATCAGTCTATCAACGTTTTAAAATAAAATGTTTGCAGTAATAATTATCTGTAGAACTTTAAATTAAAAACTGATTCTGAATTCAGAGACTTTCCAAAAAGACCTGGGTGTTATTTCAGGGTCTTCTGACAAACAAATTATTAGAACAGAGACCAGAAGAGGCCTTAAAAATAGACAATATACTATATTTGAAACAAGATTGCACTCTTGGATTTTAGAACGAATATATCAGAATTGCATTATTATTTCATAAACTCTCCTTTCACTTAACATGCTGAGGTGGCCAGCTGTCCCCACGTGTGTTTTGTTTTTTTGGTGTGCAAGTTTAAGGAAGAAAAAAATCACTTTTTTTTTGTTTTTGTTTAGCATATATGTTTTCCACCTTAGTTAACTAGATCTTTAAAAATGAAAATGAAAACCTTCTCTGACAGCAGTATTTATCTCGGCGAGGGATAAATAATTCCTCAGAGTGAAGTGTTGCTAGTCTATAGAAAACGCGTCAGGTGTTCACGGTGGCTCCTCCCGCCGGCCGCGCGTCTGCCTTCCGCCGCTTCCTCCTCCGTTCCTCCGACAAGGTCCTTTCCTGAGCACGAGGACCTCAGTGAAGACAGACTGGTTCAACCCCCCCCAGAGGAGTGACCTTCTGCTAAATCCACCTCCCCAGGTACTTGTCAGGGGTCGGGCAGATCCGAAGTATCCACTATGACTTTAATAAAAATTGTATCATCTTTAATATACGTCCCGTTTTCCAGGACAGTTTGGGCCACAAAGACGGGGCAGCCAGAGGCGATGTTCATCTCCCCTGTGGGCTTCCGGAAGCTGCTGCTGTTGGGGTCAGGCTTGAACGCGTCTCCCAGGTGGCGCCGCGAGGACCCCTGATCCATTAACATGAGCGTCACTTTCTGCTTAAACGGCCAAGGAAGCAAGGCATCATACTCTCCACGCATGATGACAAAGAACAGTGACAAGTGTGTCCCCTTCCCCATCCCGTCCCCATTCAGGTAGACCCTGGCGCACATCTTATAGCCAAAATAGCCCGTGTAGAAAGGCTGGCTGTAAAGGGACAGGGTCTTCCCCATCACGGCCTCCTGCTTCCGCCGCTTATAATCTCGGATCTTCCAGATCAGCACGCCGTTGTAGCTGGCGGTCTCCAGGACCTGGAAGCGCAGGTCCATGTCCGCCAGGCGGATGTCATGAACGCTCAGCATCTGGTCGTGCCGGCTCAGCTGGGACTCCAGCAAGCCTGCGGCGGGCGGGGAGAGATCGGGCAGGTGAGACGCGAGCGCAAACCCACGCGAGCATCTGCACTCCACAGCCACACTCCGGTGCCTACGGCTGGGAACCTGGGTGCCAGGGATGAAAGCGGGGCGCACGCCTGAGCCTGCCACGAAGAGGGCTTTTCAGGACACCCACCTGTCTTCCTTTCTGCCCAGCAGCCATGGTGGACGGGGGGAGGGTGGGGCTGACGATGAAGCACACGGGGTGGTCAACTCTGAGCCACCTGGAGTCTGCCTGGTGGGAGCCCCTGGGAGAGGGTGTGCTCACGACTCTCCCACCTGTAGGTCTCAGCTGCTCTCTCGCTCCCAGTGCAAGCCCTCTGCCTGCGTGGTGCAGCCCACACGCACAGCGTTCCCGCTCCTCTCCACCACCAACCCTCCTCACACACACTCAGCACCCACTCGGTCCTGAGGCCACCACTCACTTCCACTCCTGGCTGTCACAGGGGTGCTGAGCAGGCCTTGTCTGCTGCCTGCCCTGCCAGCTCCTGCCCCTGGACCACAGCAGCACGGCCTGGGGCAATGGACCATCAGGACCTGGCGTCCCCTGTGCCTGTCGGCCAGCCCTGTGGCCCCAGCCTCTCTTGGGAAGGGCTCTGAGGCCTCCCACTGGACCCTGAGTGGGGAAGCTTCCATCTTGACTGCAGGGATCTCCACAGGAACACGGCAAAGGCCTGACCTGCCACTGGACACGGCCCACGCCCGACCTGCCACTGAACACGGCAAAGGCCTGACCTGCCACTGGACACGGCAAAGGCCTGACCTGCCACTGGACACAGCAAAGGCCTGACCTGCCACTGAACACGGCCCACGCCCAACCTGCCACTGAACACGGCCCATGCCTGACCTGCCACTGAACACGGCCCACGCCCAACCTGCCACTGGACACGGCCCACGCCTGACCTGCCACTGGACACGGCCCACGCCCGACCTGCCACTGGACACGGCCCACGCCCGACCTGCCACTGGACACGGCCCACGCCCGACCTGCCACTGGACACGGCCCACGCCCAACCTGCCACTGGACACGGCCCATGCCCGACCTGCCACTGGACACGGCCCACGCCCAACCTGCCACTGGACACGGCCCACGCCCGACCTGCCACTGGACACGGCACTCGTCTGGGTGCACAGCCTGGTCCCCCAGGCTTGCACTCACCTGTGTTGCGAGCCGCCTGCCCGGCACTTTTGTCCACACTTTCCAGCTCGGTCACGCGGTTCTGGAGCGACTCCACGCTGCTCTTCATGCTGTCGGCCTCCTCCCAGTTCTGCCGGAAGGGGCGGATCTCCTTGTCCAGCTCCTTTAGCTTCTCTGCTTGGCTGTCTATTACTCGCTTCCACGTCGAGTGTTGAAAAGACAAGAAAGTCAGGACTCTGAAAACGTGCCACCACCTACCCAGGACTAGCCAGCCAGGGGCAGAGCAGCCGCCCAGCGTCCAGACCTGACGGAACAGGGGGTGGGCGCCAGCCCCGCTCCAGGGAGCATGGTGGGAAAGAACTAGAAAGACACTTCCTATGGAGAATGAGTGAACCAGGCCCACTGCATCCACTGCTCTGCCACACAGGGCCACCGGAAGAGAGGTGATGTGCACACACGCTGGGACAATCAGATGGAGGTTCCACGCAAACCTCTCTGCTGTGTCACACGGGGTCGGGAGGAGCTCCGGCCGGCTCCATCTCAGCCCAGCCACCTGTCCTATCCAAGGATCAGCTGATCCCCCCAGCTCCACTTTGACCCAGGACGTGACCCCGCCCTCGTACTCACCAGTGGTTCTCCCTGCACCTCCCCGCCTCCTCCCAGGCCTGGTTGCCACAGCCGTTTCATCCGTCTGTACTTCAGGGCCCGCAGGTACTGGGAACCCTGCTTCCCAGAGGAGGGGACCGGGGCACAGGGAGGCATCACCTCATTAAGTGCAGGTGCCCAGGGCAGGCAGCTCCAAATCCCTGCTACCTGCCATGGAGCCTCAGGCTCAGGGTGCTGGAGTCACTGCCATGCGGCCCTGTTTTCTCTTTGAACATCAGCCGAGGGCCAGGGGAGGTGCAGCCACAGCACTGGAGGCGGCAGAGGGTGCCTGGGAACTCATCCGGGCCCTGGCAGAGAGCTCGCATCGGCCTGCCGCTGCCCCACGCACCTGGCTGCTCTACACAGCACTGACGCAGGCAACAGCCTGAGGGCCCTCTGCCTGCTCTACACAGAGCACAAGGGGACAGGGCGCAGGAACAAAGCTCACAGACATATGTGGCCACCAACAGCAAGGCCCGACTCCTGTTATCCTCAGTTAATTCAGAAACACAGGCCACGCTTAGCAGTGACGGCAGTGAGGACAGCAGTCCCCGACTGTGTGACAGGCCTGGAGCACCACACGCTCTCTACAGCCGGGCCTGTAGTGTTTCCGTTTCTGAAAAGGATCTGCACTGGGAGACAGAGCTCCCGAGTCAGCCGCTGAGTGCTTGGGGAGGTCTGAGCGCCAGAGCTGCCCCTGATGCCCCTGATGCCCCTGGCTGAGCTGCCCCCTCGAGGTCTACAGGTAACACGCAGGTTTAGCACCTCTGCTGCTCTTCCCAACCAGGAAGGAAGGAGCACGGCAGGTCTGGGTGACTTTCTGGGTGTAAAAACAATGTTGGGGCTGGTGCTGTGGTGTAGCGGGTAAAGCCACCGCCTGCAGTGCCGGCATCCCATGTGGGTGCCAGTTCAAGTCCCAGCTGCTCCAGTTCTAGCTCTTTGCTGTGGCCTGGCAAAGCAGTAGAGGATGGTCCAAGTCCTTGGGCCCTGCACCCACGTGGGAGACTGGGAAGAAGCTTCGGATTGGCGCAGCTCCAGCCACTGCAGCCACTTGGGGAGTGAACCAGCGGATGGAAGCCTTCGCTCTCGTTCTCTCTCTGCCTCTCCTTTCTCTGTGTAACTCTGACTTTCAAGTAAATAAATAAATCTTTTTTTTTAAAAAAAAGTGTTACCCTTTCTATTTTTTTTCAAGAAATCTAATGTTAGCTAATATTCAACAAAACAAAAACCTCTTTCTATACCAACATCCCTTTATTTTAAACAAATACACCTGGGAGAGGAATATTTAACGAATCTACAAAATTCTTCCTGGGAGCCAATACTGTTCACATTAGTGGACATCCAGACCCAGACACATTTTAGGAAACATCTGTGACCACCACTTCCATACGCTCTGCCGATACTGCACGCCACGCCGATGTGGATGCCGACAACAGGCAAAGAGAAGTGGACCCACAATGGCCTGAGATGCTGTCAGTAACAGAAGCGGGAGTGACCCACAGCCCGGGGCCCCGAGGCACGGAGCTGCAGCTGACAGCAGGTGGTGTCAAAGCCCAGCCTGGCATGCAGAGTCAGGGTGTGTGTGCAGGGACAAACACATTGCAACATGCACACGGACACAGAGACACATGAGAGGTGGCTCAACCCACTAACTTGAAAGGAGTTCCCATGTACAGCAAGGGGAAATTTTCTATTTTTAGAACAGATGATCCTGCTGGGTGAAGGGCAGCTTCAAGGCAGGAGGAGATTCTAGCCGCGCCTTATTCGTTAGGAAGGCGCCACTATCAGCCACAGTGCTTCTGGAAGCACAGATCTTCTGCAAGTGCCGAATTTATTAGGAAAAGTAACTCAGAACTGACAAGTAAGTCTCCAGCAACACTCCCCACCTGCAGCCTACCTCTCTCAGCCACGGTGCACCTGGGCTCAGAGCACGCGGACCTGTGGAGCCGCAGTAGCAGGTCGCACCACCAGCAAGAACCACGTCACCCAGTGCCATCGACAGCAGGAGCACTGGGTCAGGCTCAGACCTCAGCTGTTTTTCAAGTAAGAAAACCCAGGATCTTTAAGAAGTGAAATATGAAGACACAGTCCTTGGCGGGCCAGCACGAGCAAACACACCCTTCAGTCCTACACCCTTCACACTTCTCTGCCACCAGATGCCACACCGTGTCCACACTCCCACCCTCGTCAGACGAGGAGTGAATGACCTGCAGTGATGTGGGCAGCCATCACTGAGGTGGTCAACGCACAGCACTGGACAGTGCTGAGGGCAGAGGTGAGGGAGGAAGGCGTCCTGGAGGGTGTCTGAGGAGGAGCCAGGCTCACTCAGCGAAGGCAGGCAGGGGCAGAGGGCCCTGGAGCTCAGGCCACATCTGTGCAGGAGCGAGCAGCCTCTCAAGGACCGCGAAAGGGCCACGTGGCGGCGCAGAGGGAGGCAGAGCTGGGAAGGGGACGAGTGGACAGTGGGCCTTTCCTGGGCAATGCGCCCTGGCTGCAGGGGTGGGGCGGGCGAGCCCAGGTGAGCGCAGCTCCTCCCATCACTGTTTCTTGAAGCCAGGCCAGAGTTTCTCCCCCAGCTCCAGCCAAGGCTGCCAATCCCACAGTGACACCAAAGGTCCAACTAACTCCCACCGTTCACATCCGTCTGGCGAGGCCCTGAGCAGAAGGCTAGGAGTGATGGGAACCGTGTCTCGTGCCCGCACAAGCTCTGGTGCCCTTGGATCTGAGCTCCTTTGGAAAATGCGGTCTGCTTGCTCTGTGCTTTTCTTTCCACAGAGAAGAGAAGGAACAAGCCACTGCCCTCCCGCTCACCCCACACACAGGGGCCATGGACCCCCGTCAGAGCTCACGCTCCACTTTCCTGGGCTCCAGCGACCCACCTCCCCTTTCTTTCTGACTTGCATCTTACCGGTTTATTCAGCTGCAAAGTTTTAAAATATGAACATGCTCTACACACGTAGCAGAGTGATTACACACTAAACACTGTGCAGAGAGCCCTTCCGGCTGACTGCAAGAAGGGCACGTGAAACCTTGAGGTTTCCTATTTGGCCTCTAAACATCATCGTGTACATTCTAAATTATTTCTGTTATAAATGTTATTTCTGTTATAGATGTAATAAGTTAACTCAGTGATGGGGCCGGCGCTGTGGCATAGCAGGTAAAGCCGCTGCCTGCAGTGCCAGCATCCCATATGGGCACCGGTTCAAGTCCCGGCTGCTCCATTTCTGCTCCAGCTCTCTGCTATGGCCTGGGAAAGCAGTGGAAGATGGCCCAAGTCCTTGGGCCCTGCGCCCATGTGGGAGACCTGGAGGAGGCTCCTGGCTCCTGGCTCCAGATCAGTGCAGCTCCAGCCATTGCGGCCATCTGGGGAGTGAACCAGTGTATGGAAGACCTCTCTCTCTCTCTCTCTCTCTCTGCCTCTCCTTCTCTCTCTCTGTAACTCTTTCAAATAAGATAAATAAATCTTAAAAAAAAAAGTAAGTTAACTCACTGCTTATTCATTCTTTTTGTTATAGTCTTTTTGTTTTTAAAGATTTATTTATTGATTTGAAAATCAGAGTGAGAAAGTGAGAGTGAGAGAGAGAGAGAGGTCTTCCATCTGCTGGTTCACTCTCCAGATGGCTGTAATGGCTGGAGCTGGGGAACTGGGCCTGGCTGAAGCCGGGAGCCAGGAGTTTCCTCCCATTCTCCCACATGGGCGCAGGGTTTGGGCCATTTTCCACTGCTTTCCCACGCACAGTAGCAGCGAGTGAGTGGGGCAGCCAGGACTCAAACCAGTGCCCATATGGGATGGTAGCATTGCAGACAGTGGCTTAACTCGCTGCGCCACAGTGCTGGACCCTGCTGACAGCCTCACAGGCAGGTTTCTAGCATGACATCAATTTCCCTGGCTTCCCCTGGTCTCTGAGCCAAGGTTAAATTCAGGTGCTGTACTTCAAAGCTTCAGACCTGTCCCCCAGGCAGAGGAGGTGAGGATGAACCATGTGGATGGACAGGGCCCTGAGACAGGGCTTGCTTGGCCCCTTGGGACAGTCTGACCGCATACTGTTTGGGTCCTCAGCAAAATGCCACGAGTTTCCAGGTTTGCTGGTACACTGGAACACTGTACACTTTTGGCTTGATTTCAATACTAACAGCTTGACTCTTTTCTAAGACAATCTAATGTTTCCTATATTTCTTGTCTCTGCACAACTACAAAGTTTAATACAAATGAGATAAAATTAAAATTCCAACACAAGTCAAGGTATGACTAAGCCTCACTGTCAAAATGGGAGGAGAGGAAGTCTCAAAGATATTACAGCTCCGCACTGTTAGAAATCACGCAGGGAAACACACTGAAAATCACTCCAGTGCCTCCCACGGGCACTGCCACGCACAGGTGCCAGTCCCAGTGCAGACAGGCCTCCAAGACAGTCTACTCCACGGTGCCCAGCAGAGGCTGGCACTGGGCCCGCGGACAGAATCCCCTATTCAGCAGGGAAGGGTGCCCTTTCCGGCTGCTCCAGTGCTTCTGGAGTGACACGGAGTGACCGTGTGGGCAGGGGGCGGGTCCCCACATCAGAAAGCTGCAGAGCCACGCAGCTGCCTCTCACTCCCTAGACACTGCACACAACTGCTCACCAACAACACGGAGTCCGAGATAACCACGCCTGCTCGTTTTTACAACACAGGCGTCAAGTCTTGCTTTGCCAACAGCAGATCACAACACAGCAGAGGGGTGAGAGGCCTGCTCTCCAGAGAAAAGGCTGAGACCACGGCTGCCTGGCAGCTCCCCGGGCTGCCTTCTCTGTCTCCACTTGAGCAGGAGAGGAGAGAGAGGAGTGCACCCCTGTCCCCAGCTCCGGGCAGGAGCCCTCCAGGAGACACCACACGTGGACCAGACAGCTTCAGCTGCTTACCTGTAAATGAAGTATTTTGGATTCATTATTTCGAAGCATCTCCTTTTGTCTCTCAATTTCAATTTCAAAGCTACATATCTGATTGTGCAGACTTTGTATACTCTTGTTTTTTTCTACACTTTCATTTTGCAGCAAGGAAACCTAAAAAAGAAATGCCTCAATCAATTTAACAAAAAGTGGTTTGAATATTAATTAACAACGCTAATGACTCATTAAATATTCACAAAACAATGAATTAACAATGATAATGACTAATTAAATATTCACAAAACCCAACGGAGTTCCAGAAGAAAAAAAATCCGTCCACACAGAAAGTGAAGTTCTGGTAACTGGAAAGAATCCTAGGGGCGGGCACTGTGGCACAGTGAGCCGAGCCTCTGCCTGCGGCGCTGGCATCCCATACGGGTGTCGCTTCTCTGCTTGGATCCGGCTCCCCGCTGATGGCCTGGGAAAGCAATGTAAGGCGGCCTAAGTGCTTGGGCCCCTGCACCTGCGTGGGAGACCCAGCAGCTCCTGGCTCCTGGCTTCAGACAGGTCCAGGTCTGGCCATTGCGGCCATCTGGGGAGTGAACCAGTGGATGGAAGACCTCTCTCTCTGTCTTCCCCTCTCTCTGTCTGTAACTCTGCCTCTCAGGTAAGTAAGGAAATCTTATTTTTTAGAAGACAGAGTCCTGTGCATTGCATTTCTCAGAACTTAAGCAAAGTACAGCAACTGACTGAAGTTTAGGACAGGGTACTTTTCTAGAGATTTTGCTGAAAACAAAACATTTGAGTAGCTCTCAAATTCTGACCAGGAAACATATAACAAGCACATTCTTATATTTCACCCCATTTATAGAAACATTATGTGTGTGTATAACTGAAAAATAGGTTTCACAGAACCACACTTGCCCTAATCAGTCCCAATGCGCCCTATTTTCTATTTTATTCTATTTCACTTAACGAAACAATGCTGGTCTTTGGAGCACATGATGCGAAGTGAAGTAAACCGAGCACAGAAGAGGAATACTGCACGTCTCACTTCTGCGTGAGAATGAGAAGAGCTAAGATGTTGGTGAAAGCTTAAGAAGGTACCAGAGGACAGAAGGAGTAAGTCTTGTGTTTTCAAAATTCATTTTATCTATTAAAAGGCAGAATGAGAATGAGAGAGAGAGAGAGAGCGAGAGCGAGAGGAATGCACAGGCAGAGGTATCTTCCATGCACTGGTTCACTCCCTAAATGGTCAAAATGGCCAGGGTGGGCCAAGCTGAAACCAGGCGCCTAGGATTCTTCCCGGGTCTCTCACACGGGGCAGGAGTCCATGGACTTGGCCACCTTCTAGTGCCTCCCCAAGCACATCAGCAGGGAGCTGGACTGAGAGTGGAGCCATGAGGACTTGAACCTGCTCCAACACGGATGCTGCAGCATCAGACAGCCCACTGCAGCACAACCCAGCCCAGCCCCAGCAGTAACTGCTGAAGATCTACCACAGCAGTGGTGACTACAGCTAATAATAACGTCAGACACGTATTTCAAAACGGCTAAGAAAGACTTTAGAAGTCTGAATCACATGGGCCTGGTGTCATGGCACAGCAGGTAAAGCTGCTGGCTGCAACACCAGCATTTCCCTATGGGCCTGGGCCTGGCTGCTGTGAACCAGCCTGGGGAGTGAATCAGCGGGTGGAAACTCTCTCTCTTTCTCTCTCTCTCTCTCTCTCTCTCTGTAACTCTGCCTTTCAAATAAATAAATAAAGCTACCAAAAAATTTTGTCTCAAAAAACTCATGAGGCCATGGGTATGTTAATCACATTGATTTAAAAATTCTGTGTGTATACATCTATTCAAAACGTCTCACTGTACCCAGAAATATATCCAACTATTATTTGGCAATCAGAAGTATTCCTAGTTATATCCTGCTACGTTATTGCCCAATACCTACCCGTGGGTTGCATCCTGCAGTGTGAAAATTAAAAATCAAGAAGGTAGTCTGGCACTGTGGCACGGCAGATTAGGCTGCCTCTTACCTATCAGGGCACTGGTTTGAGTCCCAGCTGCTCTGCCTCCAATACAGTTCCCTGCTAAGGCTTCTGGGAAAGGACAGCCCTTGCCATCCAAGTAAAAGACCAGGATGGAGGTCTCGGTTCTTGGCTTTGGCCTGGCCCAGATCTGACTGTTGCAAGCCAATTTGGGAGTGAACCAACAAACGGAAGATCTTTTTGTCTCTCCCTCTCTGTCACTTTGACTGTCAGATAAATAAATAAGCTAAACCTAAAAAAAAAAAAAAAAGACCGCATGGGTGGCTTGGGATCTCCTCAAGGCCGTAAGCACACCAGTCCTCTCCCCAGACGCTCAACACAGCTTTGGCCTGCGCAGCCGCTATTCCCAAGTCCACCTTTCACCTTTTCAAAATCACTTTCTTTTTCAACTCTTTTAATTTTCATTTATTTATTTTAAAGGGGGAGAGAGAGTGAGCGAGAGCAAGCTTCCATGTGCTGGTTCACCGCCCAAATGCCTGCAACAGCCAGGAGCCTGGAAATCCACATGGGGCCTGCCATGAACGGCAGGGGTCCAAGCCTGATGTCTCCCTAGTGTGTTAACGGGAAGCCTGATGAGGAGTGAAGTCAGGACACAAACCCAACCCACCGTGCCAAAGCCTGCCCCAATATTTCTTTCTGAAAAACAACTGGCTCCCAGGACTGATCCACAAAAGCCCCCGGAATGAGGAGTCCGGAAGCGATTCCCACAAGCTTCCTTCCTCCCAGCTCTCTGCAAGGGCGCCTGCGCCTACGAAACAAGCTGCGCTCCACCAACCCACACCTCCACCCACCAGGGGTGTAACAGCTACTGGCTCCGAGGCAGACCGATCCAGATGGCACCTCTGCAATGAGCGACGACCACCAGTGCCTGGGCACCACACCAGCCAAGGGCGGCAGACATGATGGCCCGAGGGCAGCTCAGAGTGTGATAAGAGCAAGTCCTGATGCTACCCTTCGAAGGACAAGCAGCCTACAGACAGGTATCCCTTAAAGGAAGGAGTACTCTGGGGCCAGTGTGGGGCACAACAGCTAAGTCACCGCCTGGGGTACCTGCACCCAACATCTGAGTGCCTGGTTTAAGGCCCAGCTACACTGCTTCTAAGCCAGCTTCCTGACACTGCTCAGCCTGTGAGGCAGCAGGCAACGATGGCCCAAGTACTTGGGCTCCTGCCACCCACTAGAAGACCCAAATGGGATTTCGGGCCCCTTGCTTAGGCCTGGTCCAGCCATGGCCGCTGCAGGCTTTTGAGGAGTAAACCAGCAGATGGAAGGTCTGTCTCTCTGACTTTCAAATAAGATGGAAAAAATATTTAAAGTAAGAAGCACCGCTGGAAATGAACACAGTTTGTTTTATTTAAAAACAAATATATATTTACTAAAGAATATAAAACTTGCAGCATCTTACAGACAAAATATGACTTCACTTTCCTAGGATTTTACTCAGCAAAAATTGGCTTTCTTTGCTAAAACAGAATGCTTCAAATGTCCATGAACTGCCAAGTGACCAACCCACATCAGTGCAGGACAGGGTCACTTCCACCTGTCAAAGATGGATGGAAGGCCGGCGCCGCGGCTCACTAGGCTAATCCTCCGCCTTGCGGCGCCGGCACACCGGGTTCTAGTCCCGGTCAGGGCGCCGGATTCTGTCCCGGTTGCCCCTCTTCCAGGCCAGCCCTCTGCTCTGGCCAGGGAGTGCAGTGGAGGATGGCCCAGGTGCTTGGGCCCTGTACCCCATGGGAGACCAGGAAAAGCACCTGGCTCCTGGCTCCTGCCATCGGATCAGCGAGGCGTGCCGGCCACGGCGGCCATTGGAGGGTGAACCAACGGCAAAGGAAGACCTCTCTCTGTCTCTCTCTCTCACTGTCCACTCTGCCTGTCAAAAAAAAAAAAAAAAAAAAGATGGATGGAATTCCAAGACTTTTTATTCCCACTGCAAAACAGACACCATAACCTTTTATTTATTTGTTTTAATCAAAGGACCTAATTCCCAGGTGCCCGTGGATCGCGGCTTTCATGTATCTGTTAGGCAGATGTACGCACGGGAAAGCCCACCAGGTAGGTGTGACTTGGAGAAGCATAGCACAGCGTCCACGCGGCAGGAAAGCAGTCCCTGCCCCTCCCCAGGACCCTGTGCATCAGGAGCGCCTCCACCCTGCCCAGCTGGCTAGAGGCACTCGAGGTACTCTACATGTCCCTCCGACTTAGGTTCCCCAAGAGATCTAAGGTAGGTGTGACCCAGTCTCAGTTTTACAAAAAAAAAAAAAAAAAAAGTCATTCTTTTGTTGAACCATGACTGTGAAGATCAGTACGTCTTAAAATTAATTAACTAATTTGAGACAGAGAGAAAAGAGAGCTCCCATCCACTGGCTTACTTCTCAGCTGCCCCTACAGGCTGGGGCCGGGCCAAGGCTGGAGCCAGGAGCCTGCAGCCCAGAACACAGTTCAGCTTCCCCACAGGTCGCAGGGACCCGAATGCTCGAGCCATCACTGCTCACAGGAAGCTGGGCTCAGAGACGAGGATCAACCCAGGAACCTGGACACGGGATGCAGGTGTCTTAGCTGCTAGGCTCACGGCCTGCTCCTGAACCAACTCGACCATTCTATTTTCTATTACAGATGCATGAAATAAACAAGGCCCTGAGGAAGTGCACAATGAGAAACAAGCTCACACTCTGAGAAGACACAGGACACGAGTGACCTCTATGATGTGCCCAGCCTTCACTTCTGGATGAGGGGCACATGTGCATGTTCTCCTGAGCTTGGTGGCTGGAACGCAGGGGCAGGGGAGGTGGGCGGCCTTTCTAACGAACAGGGTCAGAGAGACGAATCCTGAGCAACAACCAGGGACAAACATTCCAGCTACTGCGTGGCAAAGCACAGCCCGTGTGCTGCACTGTCACCAGGGCACAGCACGTGGAGTTCCAACAGTGCAGCTGGTGCAGCAGTGGGGCAGGGGCTGCTCTAGGGAGTGTCGTGTCGGGTGCCAGTGATGCCAACCATGCTCTCTGAGGGGGAACCGATGAGGCGAGAAAGAAGGGCACAAGCACACCTGACCTGGAACACCTTCACAGAGCCCCTGTCCTGGATGCCGACTGAGCGCTACGTTCCCTCCTGCACTGTCCTCTGCGTAATCACCTAACTCAGACCTCTAGTGTTACGTAAGTAGCAGCACTGTAACAAAACTAACCCTTAAAATGAAAGAACCGGGGCCGGCGCCGTGGCGCACTAGACTAATCCTCCACCTTCGGCGCCGGCATCCCATGTGGGTGCCGGGTTCTAGTCCCGGTTGCCCCCCTTCCAGTCCAGCTCTCTGCTGTGGCCCGGGAGGGCAGTGGAGGAGGGCCCAGGTTCTTGGGTCCTGTACCTGCATGGGAGACCAGGAAAAGCACCTGGCTCCTGGCTTCGGATCGGCGCAGCGCCGGCCGTGGCGGCCATTTGGGGAGTGAACCAATGGAAGGAAGACCTTTCTAGACCTTTCTCCCTATCTCGTTCTCTCTCACTGTTTATAACTCTACCTATCAAAAAAAAAAAAAAAAAGAACCTTTCAAATGAGGAATGCAGCCCCATGAGACAAGCATCCCTTTGATCGATGCCTATAATTTTAAAAGAGCAGAAACAACACATTCTTCAAGAAGAGGGAAAAGAAGATTTATAGGTGAACCGTCACTGAGTTCAGAACAGCAGTAGGCGCTTCTGGGAAAACCACCCATGGTTCATCTACCATGAGCTCAACCTCACAGCTGACAGAATCTGCCTGCCCGCCTGTGCCGGCACACACAACACACCAGCCTGTCATTGCTTCTCAGCTTCTTCTCAAGTGTTTATATTAAAAACTATTTTTGGCCGGCACCGCGGCTCCACAGGCTAATCCTCCGCCTGTGGCGCTGGCACACCAGGTTCTAGTCCCAGTTGGGGCACCGGATTCTGTCCCGGTGGCTCCTCTTCCAGGCCAGCTCCCTGCTGTGGCCCAAGTGCTTGAGCCCTGCACCCGCATGGGAGACCAGGAGGAAGCGCCTGGCTCTTGGCTTTGGATTGGCACAGTAGTGGCCATTTGGGGGGTGAACCAATGGAAGGAAGACCTTTCTCTCAGTCTCTCTCTCTGTCTATAACTTTGCCTGTCAAAAAAAAAAAAAAAAAAAACTATTTTATGTCAGATGTAATGAGAATATTTTTTATTTGACAGGTAGAGTTATAGACAGTCAGAGAGAGAGAGACTGAGAGAAAGGTCTTCATTTTCCTTTGGTTCACCCCCCAAGTGGCTGCCACGGCTGGCGCTGCGCCGATCTGAAGCCAGGAGCCAGAAGCCAGGTGCTTCCTCCTGGTCTCCCATGCAGGTGCAGGGGCCCAAGCACATGGGCCATCCTCCACTGCCCTCCCGGGCCACAGCAGAGAGCTGGACTGGAAGAGGAGCAACCGGGACTAGAACCCGGCACCCATATGGGATGCTGGTGCCGCAGGTGGAGGATTGACCAGGTGAGCCATGGCACCGGCCTGATAAATTTTTAATCTAAAATGTTAGTCTTTCAGGGCCAGTGCTATGGCGCAGCAGGTTGAAGACCTGGGCTGCATCTCATATGGGTGTCAATTTGAGTCCCGGCTGCTCCACTTCCAATCCAGCTCCCTGCTAATGTGCCTGGGGAAGCAGCAGAGGATGGCCCCAGTCCTTGGGAGACCTGGAAGAAGCTCCTGGCTTCTGGCTTCAGATCAGCGCAGCTCTGGCCGTTGTAGCCATCTGGGGAGTGACCCAGCGGATGGGAGAGCTCTCCCTTTCTGTCTCTACCTCTCTCTCTAACTCTTTCAAATAAATAAAATAAGTCTTTTAAAAAAAGTTAGTTTTAAACAGCCTGGACTCTACACTTGAAACAAGACATCCACCTTCAGAATCTCTGGAAAACCCAAACGCCGACTCCAGGGCTGCTCTGGTTCATCTCCGTGCACTCCTGCTGTATGCTTTCCAGACGAGTGCCAGATGCGGCATTAAGCTCTTATTTTATAAATAAGCCACAATGGGAGATCTTGTAACAGCTCCTTCTCTATCAATTCTTGTCAGTTTTCATATTCTCCTCATGAAAGTAAGACCCAGCTGTGCTGAACACCATACCACAAACTCAACTGGGACGAGGTCTTCCAACAGGAGGGCGCCTGCTATGGGGCCCACAGCCCTGTGGCGGCCCTCCGAGGACAGCCGGGAGGAGGCGAATCTGGGGAGGGGCTCCTGTCTGTGGCTGGTGCAGGAAGCTTCCAGGCTGTCACCCCCTGAGCTAGTGATGGTGGAAATGGGTTTGCCTATTTGTCTCTCACAAAAGACAAAGAAGTCTTTGAAGACGACCCTTGACCCTCACTCCCATCAGAGGAGCCAGGTGGTAACCACTGCGGGCCATGACGTCCACACGCCATGTCCACAGAAACAAATGGGGGGGGGCAGCTTTCCAGTCATCACCTTCATCCACAAAAGGAGCTGGGGCTGGGTGTCGATCATCGTGATCTCGATCAATGCTGAGATAACCACAACGTGATTACATGTATGTATTTTTTTAAAAAGCAAAGCATGCTTACTTGGCAATTTAAAAACAAAGAATACACAAAAACAAAGCACCTTGATTCATAATCTTGAGATCAAGCAAAGATAACTTATCTATCTGCCAACTCTTCATTAACAACTAATAAAGGTTTTCCTCTTTAGCTAATGTGAAGAAATGAAAAGCCCAACAGCAGCTGGACCCATGGCCTACCTTCTTCTCCAGGGAGTTGCTCCACTCCTTGAGCAGGTTGACGTGCTGTACCGCCGAGCTGGCCTCGTGGGCCTTGATCTGCTGGTTCGTCCCCTGCGAGAGCAAATGTGCCAGACAGTGAGCCAATCATTCCATTTCAAAGGACACTCACACATGGTTTAAAAGCGGCACTAAACACAGAGAAGGGGCTTCCTGATGTCTCTCATGCGTAGTTAGCAGGCATCTCAGCCTCAGCAGAGTCCCGCCCAGTGGCCACTTGGGAGGGTCGTGAGGAGGAACAGAGCACCCAGAGTCTAGAAAACTCCTCGCAACGCTGCCCTCAAGTGCACACTGCCCACTTCTCAAGCTTCTCACCACCAGCGCCTTCTTATCAACGTTCCACACTTGCGATACCAACACACTAAGCCTCTCAGCTCCTGTTATTCTTTATGTTACCTTTTCCATTAAAAATGTAAGTTGACAATGTTTGGATACCTGTCGCTGCAGCTGGATACTGCTACCACAGCCCAGCGACCATGTTTAAGCCAAGTAGGGTGTCCAGAATTCAGTACAGCTCCAATCCACTGCACCTAAGAACTGCCACTCCTCACCATTCTAAGTGGACTCAGGAAGTCACACACAGAACATGAACAATCTACAGAGTACATAAGATGTAGACCACTTTAGTCAGGAATACGCACATGAAATAGTACTTCATGTATTTAAGGAGACAAGTAGAATGAAAATATAATCTGTTTCAATATTGGAAAATTAAAAAGCCAGAGAAACCATCTTAATGATCTCCAAAACATATACTCTGTACATAGAAAATTCATATATATATGTTGATATAAGTGTGGCTATATATAAACATATATATACACACACACAGAGAGCATGAGTGACGCTGCGTACGACATGGTGGGAGGCTCCGTCTCCACAGAGACCAAAGCACAGGGAGGCTACAGCCAGTCTCACTCTCGGTCTTTTCACTTCCTCAGAGAGCTGACGCGCCCACGTGCCTGCACTGACTTCATCCTAAGTCCTGGTGACACACTGAAGACACAGTGTTCCCTGGCAAGATGTGCTGCCTTTGGGCAGCTGGGAGGTTTGCATTTAAATGAAACTTCAGTCCCAACACACTGGCAATCTCAGACTTGTTTAGGAAAAAATCCACCACCACCACCACCAGATGCAGGTTTCTCATGCCACATACGCGGCAGCAGCCCACATCCTCTCCACACTCCTTCCCAGGAAGTGTGGTTCCTAGGGGCTGGGCTCCCTTTTGGATCCGTCCCTGGCTGGGGCAGAGTCAGCAAAGGCAGAAACACAAAACATATTTATGACACAAGCCACGTGTGATTCCTATGGCTGGAAACTGACACACTGTCTGGTTTGTTAATCACTTATGTTCAAGGAAGACCTAAGAGTTCCGTATCAACCCATGTAAACCCCCACCATATGTCAGCCTCTCTCTCCCACTGCTCGCTTGTTTCAAATGTAGCAGCTCTCCTAACAGACTGACTTCCTCCTCTGTACAGGATCCACCTGAAGTTTCAAAGAGTCACTGGACTAGCAGCTGCACACGCTTCCATCACCCGTGCAACAGGGTGTTTCGGTTTCACGACAAAGACTAAAAGAGCCCGGAACTTGCATATGAAAATGTTAATATAAACTTTCTCTCATGGCAGAATGTCAGTGACTAGGAAGGACAAATGTTGGATACTGACCTGAAAAACGCAGCCATAGCGCTTAAAACTACAGGTGCTGGGGGCATTGACACACTCTGACAAGTGTGCACTCAACTGCAACGGGAAAGAGACATGAGTTGTGGCACAAACGTTTGCATGAAAATGTTCAAACATATTAGGGCACAGAGAGCATCGGCTTGCACTATTCAGAATGGTGTTTATCAGCTCTATGTGTGTTTATATCACTCGCTTTCTAGAGTTATATGCAGTTACCATACAGTATAACCACGTGTATACACAAATACACACCGATATACAGAAATACATTCACTGTCACATTTCTTAAGCCTGTAGTTTCTTTAGAACAAATTGTTCAAAATGTGGCATGCTGTCTGAGGTGCCAGAATTCAGAAAATAAATAAAAAAACGTAAACTGAAATGCACATTTAAAGACTATAAACAAAAATTGCATGAAACACAAGAAAAAAAAATAGAAAGCATTTAGGATGCAACTGGCCACACACCTACTATACAGTGCACAGAGTGCTCTCTCCCAAGCAGGCTTATTCAACAGCCCAGCGCTCAGTAACACTTGGGGTAACTGGAGGGGGCTTCTGCTCCTGAAGTCTCTCCCCTCCACGGTGTGGCAGAGCCTTTCAAAGACCCCTCAGGCCATTCTGACAACATGAATCTTAACACTGTCACCTCTAGCTGATGGAAGGGACTTCAGGAGGACTGGTGGCAGATAACGCATCTTCCAAGGAAAAACCTCTCTGTTCAGCTGAAACATTGGCGGGCATCACACAAAAATCAGTTGTGACACCCAGCACGAGGCAGGGAACTGCAAGGCGCGGTCATGCATCAGGCTGGGATGCCTGAAGAGTATGGAAAGACAGCAGCTGCCTGCTCGCGAGGGAAGCCTCTCTGGAACATGCTCCTGTGCCCGGGACACACGCTCTCGGGGTGCAGACACTGTGTCGTCCTGGAGACACGCTCCTGTGTGCCCGGGACACACACTCTCGGGGTGCAGACACTGTGTCGTCCTGGAGACACGCTCCTGTGTGCCCGGGACACACACTCTCGGGGTGCAGACACTGTGTCGTCCTGGAGACATGCTCCTGTGTGCCCGGGACACACACTCTCAGGGGTGTAGACTCTGTGTCGCCCTGGAGACACGCTCCTGTGTGCCCGGGACACACGCTCTCGGGGTGCAGACACTGTGTCGTCCTGGAGACATGCTCCTGTGTGCCCGGGACACACACTCTCAGGGTGCAGACACTGTGTCGTCCTGGAGACATGCTCCTGTGTGCCAGGGACACACGCTCTCGGGGTGCAGACACTGTGTCGTCCTGGAGACACGCTCCTGTGTGCCCGGGACACACACTCTCGGGGTGTAGACACTGTGTCGTCCTGGAGACATGCTCCTGTGTGCCCGGGACACACACTCTCGGGGTGCAGACACTGTGTCGCCCTGGAGACACGCTCCTGTGTGCCAGGGACACACACTCTCAGGGGTGCAGACACTGTGTCGCCCTGGAGACACGCTCCTGTGTGCCCGGGACACACACTCTCAGGGTGCAGACACTGTGTCGCCCTGGAGACACGCTCCTGTGTGCCCGGGACACACACTCTCGGGGTGCAGACACTGTGTCGTCCTGGAGACACGCTCCTGTGTGCCCGGGACACACACTCTCAGGGTGCAGACACTGTGTCGCCCTGGAGACATGCTCCTGTGTGCCCGGGACACACGCTCTCGGGGTGCAGACACTGTGTCGCTCTGGAGACACGCTCCTGTGTGCCAGGGACACACACTCTCAGGGGTGTAGACTCTGTGTCGCCCTGGAGACACGCTCCTGTGTGCCAGGGACACACACTCTCGGGGTGCAGACACTGTGTCGCCCTGGAGACACGCTCCTGTGTGCCAGGGACACACACTCTCAGGGGTGTAGACTCTGTGTCGTCCTGGAGACATGCTCCTGTGTGCCCGGGACACACACTCTCGGGGTGCAGACACTGTGTCGTCCTGGAGACACGCTCCTGTGTGCCCGGGACACACACTCTCGGGGTGCAGACACTGTGTCGCCCTGGAGACATGCTCCTGTGTGCCAGGGACACACACTCTCGGGGTGCAGACACTGTGTCGTCCTGGAGACATGCTCCTGTGTGCCCGGGACACACACTCTCGGGGTGCAGACACTGTGTCGTCCTGGAGACACGCTCCTGTGTGCCCGGGACACACGCTCTCGGGGTGCAGACACTGTGTCGCCCTGGAGACACGCTCCTGTGTGCCCGGGACACACACTCTCGGGGTGCAGACACTGTGTCGCCCTGGAGACATGCTCCTGTGTGCCCGGGACACACACTCTCGGGGGTGTAGACTCTGTGTCGTCCTGGAGACATGCTCCTGTGTGCCCGGGACACACGCTCTCAGGGGTGTAGACTCTGTGTTGTCCTGGAGACATGCTCCTGTGTGCCCGGGAACACACTCTCGGGGTACAGACACTGTGTCGCCCTGGAGACACGCTCCTATGTGCCAGGGACACACACTCTTGGGGTGCAGACACTGTGTCGCCCTGGAGACATGCTCCTGTGTGCCCGGGAACACACTCTCGGGGTGCAGACACTGTGTCGTCCTGGAGACATGCTCCTGTGTGCCCGGGACACACACTCTCGGGGTGCAGACACTGTGTCGTCCTGGAGACACGCTCCTGTGTGCCCGGGACACACACTCTCAGGGTGCACTGTGTCGCCCTGGAGACATGCTCCTGTGTGCCAGGGACACACACTCTCGGGGTGCAGACACTGTGTCGCCCTGGAGACACGCTCCTGTGTGCCCGGGACACAGGCTCTCAGGGGTGTAGGCTCTGTGTCGTCCTGGAGACACACTCCTGTGTGCCCGGGACACACGCTCTCACTCTCAGGGGTGCAGACACTGTGTCGCCCTGGAGGGTGCAGGGCGTCCTTCAGGACAGTGACGGTCCTTTCCGCTAGCCAGGTATTTACAATGCAGGGAACAGAGGATCCCAGGACAGGTCTCTCGCTTTACTCAGACAGCTGAGGAGGGGGTTCAAGAGACGGGAGTAGCCGAGAGACCTACATGACAGCCAGCATGGCCAACCTCTGTGCAAGGTCTGCACCAGGGTGGAGTCAAGGTGGTGGGACAGGCCCTGGACGTGGGGTATGTGCCCAGAAGGCACATGATGCAACAGCATGGAGAATGCACACAGCAGTCCATTTAAAATTCCAAGACATTTTCTTTCAAGCGCTGTTAACGCAGCTGTGAATGTAACCACCTAACGCTCCGAACGTTCACACTGGGGACACGCTGTTTTCAGTGTGCCGCTACGCACTCGGCGTCACACCTGTCCCTCCACTGGTTCATCACCAGCACTCTGAGACCAGACTGCAGGAGCTTTGAAACAGAGACAAGAATAAGCTATACCACAGCCTAGTGGCACCTGAGAAGCAATAGAGAGGCAGCTTTGAATTCAGAGCTCTGAGTAGAATTCAGGAACATGCACAAAACCCTGGAAATTCCCTCAGTGCTACGACCTTTACACACTAGTGGGGGTACTGTCTGGCCGTGGAAATAACTAGCCAGGACCCTCCCCCATCCCAGAGATCTGTCACCAGGCAAGCCTGGGGCAACTCTAGGTCAGAGTGGCTCCTGAGGTCGTCCCTGGCCCTTGGCCCAACTGGGCCTTCTCACTCAGCAGGGTCGCCGGAGGCCGTCCCTCACCCCAGCGTGCAGTGTCACAGTCTCAGGCTGCTGGGAAAGGCTGAGGTGAGCAGGCTCCTCGGGGCAGACACCCAGGAGCCCACAGGGCCGCAGGCAGCTCCTGCAACGGCAGCCAGAGGGGTCCAGGACTGAGGAGACTCCCGGACGTCTCCCATCTGGATGTACCCTGATCAAGTGCAAGCACTACAAAATCTACCTTTCTCAAAGGAAGGGTGTGAGAGACAGCCTCGGCTGGGGGCTGGTGAGGACAGACACAGGTGCCCAAGCCAGAGCCTGTGGTCACCAGGATCCCGGTGTCTCTAGGTGAACGCACTGACTTCACGGGGCAGTGACTCCCGCCTCACAGATGTGAAAGCAGCTTTTTCAAGTGTCACCTTTGCTCGCACTACATCCTCGTTTTCTCAACTCTGAACGCTTCTGCCCTGAATTTACCGCTCTGCAGTTCTCAATCGCTTGCTTCTGACTTGCAAACACGTCCCTGCGGTTTCTGTTCTCTACCGCACGTTACCACCACGGACTGTGAAGACGCGGACTTGAGCTCCGGACAGCAGAGCAGGGCCCAGTCCCGAAGACGTCCCAACTCCCGACGGCCCAGCAGCCCTTACCTCGCTCCTCAGCAGGGTCAGCACGCTGCACTTGTGAGGGCACGACACCACCACGCAGGGACACTCGGTGTCCTCGTGTTTCTGCGGAGAAGAGCAGAGGCCATCAGCGCTGAAACACACCTGTCCTCCTCAGTTCCCACCGCAGCCCCAACGCTCAAAACGAAGCACTCAGCTCACTGCCAGCGACCCCTAAGTCAGCACACTCACGCGTCGCTTGGATCATCGTTATTTCCCGAAGTCTGAGCGTCTCCGGTCTCAGGTAACTCAGGAGGCGGGGGTGACTTGGGGGAGCAGAATCTGACAGAGGTGGCACCCCGGCCACTGCCTCTCAGCGCACACAGCTTAGCCTCCTGCCCGTGTCCAGCAGGCTCTCGCTGGCCTCTTAGTTTGGAATTTGGAAATAGTGCTTCTCAAAGACTTGAAAACAGCACTAGCTACTGAGTGATCCAGAAATCCTACCTAGATTATCTTTAGCACGTGGAAAATACGGTCAGTCTTGGCTTAGCCCTTTTCTGAATGGCACAGAAGTTAACTTCCCAGACATGGATGACAGTGACTGTTAAACCCAATGCTAGGGCACTAGCTGGGCACCTGTCACAGGCAAGTGCTGGACACCTGTCCACAAGCAAAGTACAGCTCGCCATAAAGACATTGAACCCCAAGACCCCTGGAGAACAGCTCAGCACATGACAATGGGGCCTGGCACAGCCAGAAAGGGAAGCATCCTCTGACAACCAGGGCACACTGCCGCAGGTCCTGCGCTCATCACTGCACAGCACACTCGGTGGTTTGTGATGGCACCCTGGCAGGTGTTCCTGGCATGGGCTCCCCGCAGCGGCTCTGCTCCTGCGGCTCCTGCTCGCGGATGCCCGTGTTGTCTCAGATGTCCGCTGCTTTGACTACACATGACCACGTCTCTGGGTGTGCACTGCGTTTCTCTTGCATAATCAGGAGAAGTGCTGCTAATTAACTGGGTACGTGAACGTTCAACACCATAAAATACTGCCAGATTATTTCCCAAAGTGGCTGTACCCAGATACGCTTCCTTCATGATACATTTTTCAAAAGTGAAATCTTTACAATCCTGATTTTTCATTAATTAACAGATGTGCTTAAATAGACCAATATTCAAAAATTTCTAGACTAAATGTAAAAAATGAATTTTGCCCTCGATACTTGAGATCGTGCTGACCTACAGACTTCAACTGCAGAGGAAGGCTGGCGTTTGGACGCAGCTGACACACCGTCTGTACTGCAGCCACAGTCGGGACGGAGGTCCCTGCCAGAACTGCTGTGGTGCAGATTTCAGTCCTCCTCACCATCTGGCACGTGGGACACACCACGGCAATGCAGGAAGATCGGGACAACCTGGGCTCTAGGTCTGCCTACCAGACAGGGACGGGGGGCAGGCGTCGCGTGGTCAGGTGCAGCCCCCACTCAGGAGGCCCCCAGCCCACATCTGAGTGCCTGCTCAAGCCCAGCTCCCTGCTGTGGCCTGGAAAAGCAATAGAAGGTGGCCCAAGTGCTTGGGTCCCTGCCACGCAGCAGGAGGCCCAGACGGAGCTCCCGGCTCCTGGTTTCTGCCTGGCGGTCAGAGTCATCTGGGGAGGGAAGCAGTGGACGGAAGATCTCTTTCCCTGTCTCTATCACTCTGCTGCTTTTCTTAAAAAAGATTCAGTTACGTATTTGAAAGGGAGAGTTACGGGGGCGGGGGGAGGCAGGGAGGGAGGGAGGGAGGTCTTCCATCCACTGCTTCACTTCCCAAATGGCTGCAACAGCAGATTTGGGCTGACCTGAAGCCAGGAGCCAGGAGCTTCTTCCAGGACTCCCACGCGGGTACATGGGCCCAAGCACTTGGGCCATCTTCTATTGCTTTTCCAGGCCACAGCAGAGAGCTGGATAAGAAGTGGAGCAGCCGGGAATCAAACCAGTGCCCATATGGAATGCTGGCACTACAGGCGGTAGCTTTACCCTCTATGCCACAGCACCAGCTGCCAAAATAAATAAATCTTTAAAAAAATGAATAAAAATAGGGATGGGCATTTGACACCAATAATTAAGATGCCATTTGGGACTCCTGTATCTCACATTAGGATGCTTGGGGTTCAAGGCCTAGATCTGTTTCTAATTCCAGCTTCCTGCTAATGAACACCCAGGAGGCAGCAGGTAACAGTTCAAGTATTTGGGCCCCTATCACTCAGAGAGGAGACCTGAACTGAGTTCTGGGCACCTGGCTTCAGACTGGTACAGCACTAGCTGTTGTGAGTATTTGAGGGGTGAACTAGCAGACAGGAGATCTCTATTTTAAATAAAATTTAAAAATTTAAAAAATGAATATATTTTCAAAATAATGGTAAAATAAAATATACTTACAGCCTGAGAGGATGAAAATTTGAGCTTAAAACTCAAAAGAATAAAAGACTTGGTAATAAAATCATGCCCCCAACTTGAAAGGAGGCCCTGGGAGTCACAGAACCTCTTGTCATTCCAGGAAGTCAGGGAGTGCACACCTGCCGCCCCAGTGTCAGGGAGGAGTGGGTGTGCACCTCCACCCCAGTGTCAGGGAGGAGTGGGTGTGCCCCTGCCGTCCCAGTGTCAGGGAGGAGTGGGTGTGCACCTCCACCCCAGTGTCAGGGAGGAGTGGGTGTGCCCCTGCCGCCCAGTGTCAGGGAGGAGTGGGTGTGCCCCTGCCGCCCAGTGTCAGGGAGGAGTGGGTGTGCCCCTGCCGTCCCAGTGTCAGGGAGGAGTGGGTGTGCCCCTGCCGTCCCAGTGTCAGGGAGGAGTGGGTGTGCCCCTGCCGCCCAGTGTCAGGGAGGAGTGGGTGTGCCCCTGCCTCCCCAGTGTCAGGGAGGAGTGGGTGTGCCCCTGCCGCCCAGTGTCAGGGAGGAGTGGGTGTGCCCCTGCCGTCCCAGTGTCAGGGAGGAGTGGGTGTGCCCTGCCGTCCCAGTGTCAGGGAGGAGTGGGTGTGCCTGCCGTCCCAGTGTCAGGGAGGAGTGGGTGTGCCTCTGC